GTTTTTCATATTTTCTGTAAATTAAATAATTTTTTTTTCATTTACTTACCTTGAAAAATATTTGTTTAACAATTGCCGTTTGGTATTTTTAACAACTCAGATTTTCAGCTAAAAATGATGTCGAATATTGATATATTTTTTAAATATACATTTTATATAGGATTTCTTTTAAGATATTCCATTGGGTTACTTAAATAAAATCTCTCTCTAAATTTTCAACGATATAGAGGGAGATATCGTGAGATCAAAGATCCTCTAAAGAAAACAAATTTACAATTTAATAAAAAAATGAACCAACAATTTATTCGTACGCACTTAAATTATTATTATTCACCGTATTTGACTACATCTATAATCAAATTGTTATTATTAATGTTATTATTATTAATGTTAATGTTGTTATTATTAATGCTTCTTAATATTCCAAGTACAATCCCTAATACTTGTTTTACACATAAATTCAATCAAAATCAAAATTTCTTTATATTTGTTTCTATTGTTCACAAAATATAAATAGTTTCGATTTACTGATGAAAAGATATACCTCTTTTATTCAAATTCCACATCCGGCTGTTTATCCGATACGTAATTATCGCTTAATTCGGTATTTTTAAATAAATTGCACCTAGCAACGCTTGACATAAAAGTTAGGCAGCGACTGTGACGTCAAAACCACTAAGAACGCCTAAGTGCCCACCCACTAAACACCACGTCAAAAAGAAATGTGTTGATATTTATAGATGTGAAGTGACATGTTAGTAGCTACACGGGCACCACCAACTTCCCTGTTCTATTGTGTATGTATAATAGAATACTATGATTTTACGAATGCAGCATAACCTACCCAGAACTATTTTAAAACAGTCACATCATACTGTAAGTGTTCATCACCAGATGATGATTATCATCACTACAGCCCTTCACAAATCCACTGCTGAAAATAGGCCTCCCCCAAGTAATGCCACAAAGTACGGTTCAGAGACACCTGCATCCATCGACTTCCTGCATATCTTACCAGGTCGTCACTCCATCTAGTGGCGGTCACCCTACACTTCGTCTACCGGTACAAGGCTGACACTCGAGAACCTTTTTTCCCCATCGGTTGTTTGTTCTTCGAGCTATATGGCTAGCCCATTGCCACTTTAGCTTTCTAATCCGTTGGACTATTTCGGTCACTCTGGTTCTACTGCGAAAATCCTCATTTCTATGTTTATCACGCACAGAAACCCTGAGCATAGTCCTCTCCATAGAACTCATCTGAGTGACCTTGATCATCCTCAGTCGTCTCAAGTCATCATTGGCCCTGGTTGTACAATCTCGTTTTTAGGTTTTGAGGTATACCTGAAAAGATGTGTCGTAATGTCCTGAACGCCGCCCAGCCGAGTTGAATCCGTCGATTGATCTCTTGCTCGAAGTTGGACTTACCTAATCAGACTATTTGTCCCAGGTAAACGTATTCGTCATCTCGTGAACAACTTCGAGCTTAGTGCTCCAACAACTTCCGGCATAGGTGTGACATAGACATTAAACATGATCTTTGTTTGGTTCATGTTCATCTTAAGACCTATCCGTTAGGAGACACTATTGAGGTCATTGAGCATATTGCTTAGGTCCTCGCACTCATGATATAATCGCATTGATGTTAATACCGTATCCTTTAAAGTCCAGTAGCTTGAAAACGTCTTTCAAAGCAGCGGTTAAGAGTTTCGGGGATACGTCACCCTGTCTTAGACTTATCTGCAGTTCAATGGGTTTCATACTCTGGTTCTGTTCTCGGATAGCCATCGTTGCCCTACAGTACAAACATTTCAGCACTTTGATATGCCGTGATAATAATATCATAGTATAATAGTGATGATTATAATGATATAGTATATAAGTGGTATACCTCGAACAACCGGGAACGGAAAAAAGTTTCTGAAATAACAACTTCGTACCACCAATGAGGTCACTACAAGGTGGCTCCTATTAGTACTAGATAGAATGATGAAATAATATGCAGAGAAACAATGGATGTAAGTGACGCAGGACCGTTTTTTAGGGTTCCGTAGTCAACTAGGAACCCTTACAGTTTCGCCATGTCTGTCTGTCCGTCTGTCCGTCCTCGCTTAATCTCTGTGACCGTTAGCACTAGAAAGCTGAAATTTGGTACCAATATGTGTATCAATCACGCCGACAAACTGGTAAAATAAAAATTGCAAAAAATGTTTTATTAGGGTAGCCCCCCTATATGTAAAGTGGGAAGTGATTTTTTTTTTAATTTCAACCCTAACGTGTGATATATTGTTGGAAAGGTATTTAAAAATGAATAGGGGTTTACTAAAATCATTTTTTGATAATGTCAATAATTACGGAAATAATCGCTCCAAAAGTAAAAAACAATGTGTGTCCCCCCCCCCCCCCTCTAACTTTTGAACCATATGTTTAGAAAATATGAAAAAAATCTGAAGAGTAGAACTTTATAAGGACTTTCTAGGAAAATTATTTTGAACTTGGATGGAAAGTCGGAGCGCCTGCCGCGGAGCGTGCAATGTCGCACGCTCCATGTTCGCGCACGTACCCACTACCGGGAGCAGCTGCAGGAGCGCGGAGCGCTGCTGAAGCGCGAACATAATGGACACCCACCTTTAAACTCATAAGTGGGAACACTTATTGTGATGGACGGGAAACTACGGAACCCTACACTGAGCGTGGCCCGACACGCTCTTGGCCGGTTTTTTTAATTTGTCTTTATAGCAAGCCTATCTGCACTGGGGGCATTCAGTGCCGATGATATTATAGTACTAATATTGATTTGATTGATTGATATTATACTACTACACACTGAAAGGTAAATTTCGATTCTAGTTTATAGCATAGTACTCAAAAACTAACATTACGCATATATATTTCTATTTCATCATTCGATTTCCAACAGTAAATATTAAACGAAAAAGAGTACCGATTACGCTCCAATACTTTATTGTTATTGCTATTTTGTTACGCTTTGTTTAGAATGTTTGAATTGCAAAATTGAAATAAATACTGAAGTATAATGTTCTTTTATCGGAAAATTTTATTTTTAACAATATCGTACATTTTATACGTTCAATGTGCTATTCCAAATTTAAGTGTTCAAAAAAAGTAAGTATTTGACCAAAAGATTGTTATCAGATTTTTAGATTGGATATGTTATCAAACAGAACATACAGCAATTCACCTGGACTTTAATTTTGTAATTTTTTTAAACGTTACCTCCGCACTAGGATGTTTTCCTGTATCGTGGGGGCAATTTCCATAAATAAATTTTACAATCACAGACATCCAGACCCAAAACAAATATTTGTAGGCCATACAAATACCTACCTGTTACGTGCGGGATTCGAACCGATCGAACTCATTGCTAAGCCAGTGCGCCACGGAGCCGTTTAACTTACATTCGATCGCGTGACGACCTGTGCAGTTCACAGATGTAGACTTAATGCCGGCCATACACGCTACGGTGCATCGGAGAGGTCTACCTGTGCAGGTATACCTGCGCAGGTAGACCGGAGCGTGTGTGGGAATAGACCTGTGCACTTTTTTTTACCTGCGCAGGCGACCGGAGCAAAATCGAAAATCAATTCTTCTAGTGACACCGTACGGTGTACCTGTGCGTGTGCGGTACACCGGAACGTCCCCATACACGCTACCAATGTTCGATTGACCTGCGCAGGCACCCCTGCACAGGTCACCTCTCCGGTAGACCGTAGCGTGTATGGCTTACATAAGACCGTGCTTTTTGGCAACCAATAGCCTGTTATCAATAGTAAATCTACGACAGGTCGTGATTATTATAACGTCCCAATGCTCTATTTAAAGCTACCCTCTTAAATGCGTTGCAGATGTTTATAGGTGGCGGTGATCACATATACGATCAAGTGAACCGCATGGTCGTATGTATAAGTGGGGTGGCACTTTTGTTATAACGAGCTCGTTTATTTGTGTATACGTATAAGTCATATAATACGATCTGTAATGCTTATTCGATGTACAATATTATCAGCATAAATATGTTCTTAGTATACCCTACTTTATAGTCGCGTAAGGAACTATGAACAAATAAATCCTTCACAATGCAAAATGTTATATCTCACTTTTTATGACGAAAAGATTTTACATATTATACGTACGTTTTTAGATTTACGACTAAATCTAAATACGTACACAACAATTTTAAACTAAAATCAATTATAGGGTATGTCTGTCAAAAAAAAAATCTGAAACAGCCTGACGTCAGGAAGTTATACCTGGTAGAGCCATGCTGCAGTTATATTAGTAGTATAGTTATAGCACGAATGGGTCGGCTTGAAAATGGGAGGACCACGCTCTCATAGAATACCATAAAATTGTGGGTTAATGCTGTTGTGTTTCGTATGGTGAGTGTAGAGAACTGAAAACCCTTTTTACTAAAAACGAGGCATTCCATCTTAGTCCTAACGAGTGACAACGCATCTGCATTTCGATTCGTAATCGAGAATAAATGTAGATGTCTATGAGCCACAGCAACCACTTAACATCAGGTGGACTGTGAGCTTGTTTGTTATCCTATTCTATAAAAAAAAAGGTTGCGGTGTTCACATAAAGCCTGATCTCTCTCCGGTCGTGTCGGATTACCGTCCTATAAGACTATGAAAATGGGGAAGAGGGAGATTCCTGGAGGATGGAAATGGGAATTCCTAGCAGCAGTCCAAAGTAATTATCTAAAGCCGTTGGGCCTGCGCCTGATCTCTATCTGGCCGTGTCGGGCTGCTGTCACGTCTGAGTATGAGAATGACGAAAGTGAGGTCACCTGTGCTTGCGCACGTACTTGTGCATTTTAATCCTGGCTTGCATAGATGACTAGTCTCCGTTGAGACCGGCCGCCTTGGTTGTAGTTCGATCGGGAGGAGATTAAATATTTCATATTTCGTCATAAAAAATTATTATTATTTTAAGTCGACAGAAGAGTTATAAAAAGAAAACGACAAGACACCCTAGACATGTGCCGAATTTTTAACGCGGAAACTGCTCGACTCGAGAAACTAAACAAGGCATCAGACTTCAACGTCCACATGAACCATAACAATCAAAAAAAGCAAGAACACAACAGAATGAAAAGGAACGTGAATCCAGCTCTTACAGAAAATGCATATGATATGGAACGAGTGGAACGCATTGTAGACAAATTGTACGATGATATGGAAGAACACGGACAAAAGGTTACATATAGACAAAGGCGTATCAACACTGTAACAACAGACAAGGTAAGAAGCATATTTTTAATTATACATATTTCACACGGCGGTCGCATTTCATTACACACATTGAATTCGTATAAAGCTTATAGAACACAGTGCGAAAATAATCATTATTCTTATACAAAAGAAAACAACTAAAAAGGTCCTATAAAAAAAAAGAATGTAATAGTTTATGAAAATGCACGAATTTTGTGCACAAAGGGTTCGCACTTTACTCAGTTTGATATACATACGAGTACATATTATCATAATATTAAAGAAGAATCGGAGCTTCATTTTCCTTTTTTTTACTTATATTATTAGGCTTAAAACCAGTGCTTGCAATCTTACCTGGTAGTAAGCGGTGATGAAAACCTAAAGGCAAATCGTACTTATCATCTTAGCGTAACAAAAGCCTATTCACTCATGATTTGAAGACACCCAGACTAATTACTTACTACTACTTTACTCCTCACTCAATTAAAAAATATGTTTGTCATGTCATAAAATTAATTTATTGTATAATTATATTTTATTAAAAAATTGTTTATTAAAACAATTACCTCATCCATCATGCATGCCGTGTGGTGACTATAACGCAGACAATGTTTAGTTTTTAATCGTAAAATAACCCTGAAACCTATTTGCTTAATAAAGGACAATTATTTCGATGTTACAGGCACACTTTTTTTTGATAATGCCATGTAATCGATGAATGTATAATAAATTAAAATAAATTTCAGACAATAATCAATACAACAGCAAGGCGATTATTCTTCGCACCAGCAGAACTCTTGGGACCCGTGGGATATGTTATCGACAACGGAACATCAAAGGAGGAGGAGCATAAAAAACCTGCCATAACAGCCTGGCACAAGAAATGGAAGCATGGCATTGTTCCTTATTTCATCGATCCAAATACCTACGGTTACCGTTTTATCAATTTTAATTTATATTTACGTTCTAGAGCCCTGCTGTAGCTATATTTTGGTTGCAGTTTACGATTGAGTCGGTTCGACCGAGAAGAACCATATTGGTACAACGGCATAAGTGAATTTATCACCACATTTTGTACCGTAGGTGTCGTAAGAAGCGAATATGAGAAAACATGACGGTAACTGGCGGCAGATTTAATGCACTCAAAGAGTATGCACCCAGACCGGCGGAAGGAAGCAGGGTTACAGATGCGAGACGTCGGCGACATCGCCCAGAAGCAGTGAAATTGCTCACAGCTAAGCCACCCCTTCTATTCATTGAAGACATAGGACTTAGCAGTTAACTACAGCCATAGCAACGATCACAATAGATCTTTTAAATAAAACTAGCTTTTACGGATTTTATCGCTAATATTAATTTATTTATATTCCCGACGTTTCGAACACTTTACAGCATCTATGGTCACTAGGGGACTGAGGTGTTCAACGTCCCGACGTCATAGTTAACCTAGTTTATTCACAGATTAAAATTATTAATTTTGTTCCGATCTACACAGTATAATTTTAATCTGTGTAACCCTACCTATGACATCTACGTTGAATACCTCAGTTCCCCCCCGTGACCATGGGTGCTTTAAAGTGCTCGAATCGTCGGGAATATAAAAAAGTAAATATAGGCGATAAAATCCGTAAAAAATTGTTTTATTTAAATGTGTAGTGTTCGCGTAAATATAAGAAATCATTACACAATAGTTCTTTTAGGTCGCAGAGATACTGATCCGAATGTATAGAATACATGCATAGTTGCTCGCACAAAAAAATGCACCTAGACCGGTGACGGGAAGCAGCGTTAAAGGTACGAGATGTTGACTAATGTGGTCTCCAATACGTCTGTCAAACGCTGTTACTTTCGATAACGAAGAGAAGGAGAAGGATAAAGAAGATAGAAGTTACAAAGCCTGCCATCACATACTAAAGCAATTATTTTTCCCCTTCATCTTCTCTTGTCTATAGACTATAATATACGAATGTTTTAAACACCAAACAGTACGATTGCAGATTCTCTTCTATCAGAAACTATTATAAAAGCGTTTGATTACTTCGAGAAAACTACCTGCATACGACTCCAGCGGCTTCGAGAGAGACCGACTGATAAAATGTCTCTACAGAATGTGGAATGGTTGTATATCACTAATCCGTATGGATTAAAGCAGTGTGTGCACACTAACGAGCGTAAAGCGAATAGCGGAGTGCAGGTTATTTTAAAACTTATTATTAATTATGATTTAGAATTTAGAGGCTTCAGAAGCAATACCGTTGGGAAAATTAATAGAAATGATTAATCGACACTCGTTTCCTTGACATTCTTTATTTCTCTATATAGATGAGAAATGTTAAGCTCATGTCATTGTTATGGACAAGTTACCTTTTTAATCTCGTCGTCGCTAAATCTTGGTCTTTTTTAGAAAACTTATTTTAATTGGATCACTTACACATACTTTCGTTTATGTTTTTTCGTGTATTCCTTTTCCCTAAATCTTCTGTTTCTGCTTATTTTTCATCAACTTTCTCTGCATACATGTTGTCCGAAGGCAATTATTGTCAGAGTAATCAGACCCCTGTTGCAGTAATCTTGAACACTGTGGGTAGTTTTTATCTATTTCTATATTTTTTATATAAGGAGCCATACTTTACTGCCGGCAGTATGAAGACGCTCAAGATCGCTTAACGAGCTATGGAGAGGGCTGTGCTCAGGGTTTCTCTGCGTGATAAATTAGAAATGAAAATATCCGTAGTAGAACCAGAGTGACCAACATAGACCAACGGATTAGTTAGCTGAAGTGGCAATGGGCTGGCCATGTAGCTTGAAGAACCGACAAACTGATCGGGAAAAAAGGTTCTCGAGTGGCAGTCTGTAGCCTCTCCGGTAGGCGAAGTGTAAGGCGACCTCCCACTAGATCGAGTGACCTGACAAGACATGCAATAAGTAGATGGATGCAGGTGGCTCAGGACCGTGCTTTATGGCATTCCTATTGGCAAATGGGCATGCAGCTCACCTCATGTAAACTTAAATAAGTACATGAAGTGACTTCTGTATCTAGTGAACTATGAACAATAAAATGATTGATTGAAAAAAAAATCTACTTTTGATTTTTTTAATCTTTTTTGCAGATGGTAGTTTTTGGGTACAATTGTCTATCACTTGGAGAAATTGTGCATGAAGTAATGCATATTTTGGGTTTCTCTCACGAGCACACAAGGCCTGATAGAGATCAATACGTTACAATTCAGTGGAATAATATTAAACCTGGTAAATACCACGATAATCATTATTAATTAATACCGTAGACAAAGATAGGATTCGCAGTAAAAATAACCTCTCTGCGAATTTTTATTTCGCTGTTTAAAAAAAAACACAACACTGTAAATCAAATCTTTATATGAAAATTCATAGAACTGATTACCATCCAAAAAATTTCGATATAGCTCTGGATCCCAAATATTTATACAGTCTCATAGACAATCGTCCGATGTCATCCATTTCCTCATACACCCTTTTTGCGATATTAACGAGGACCTAACGTATATTCTTAATTTGATTTGATCTTATAGTTTTACCGTTAATCCTATAAAATACCAAGCGATAATTGTATTGGTAGTTCAAGAATAAGCTCCAAATTAAAATTCATTTAAATTGCATAATATTTAACATCATTTAAATCCCTTACAAAGACGTTGTAAAATAAAACTTGAAAATCTTGATAGATTCTAGCCTTTCTTGGATTCCACGAATCAAAACCCTGCGTTCTCTTTCGATATCTAGGTCATCCTTTCAGTCTTCTGTAACAATGTGACCCAGATATTTAAAATGAGTTACTCTATGTAAAAGTGAGGGACACAGGGACGTATGTTGGACTTTTATTTCTACCTCTGAAAACCAAGAGTTCACTTTTCATAGCATTATATTTTAATCCATGCTGCTCAGCATAATCCACACAAATCGGAAGTAACTTTTGTATTCCATAGATTGACGGGCACAGCAGCACCGTGTCGCTAGCGTAGCTCAAGTTGTTAAGACTTACTCCATCTATATGGCAACCAACATGTCTGCTGCTAAGCTCTTCAATCAACTTATTTATATTTATATCTATAGATATTAAATATTCTCGGATAGGTAAGAACTCCCTGCCTCACACCGCACTTAAGTTTATAGGAGTCAGACAATGCATTAGACCACCTTACAAAATTTGTTTGCATGTCCATATCATATAGATAACTTAGACACTAATGAGGAAGGTAGGAAACCAGGTCAAAGGCTTTTGAAAGGTCCAGGAAACAAATACACGGATATTTTCCTGCAGAGTAATATTTGAAAGTCACGCGCGTAAACCAAACTGTGAATCGTGTAACTTTACGTTTTCACTGAGGCGAGAGTCGAGCACACTGTCAAATACTTTAGCTATCACAGTCACCGGTGAAATAAGTCGGTAATTACACTTGCCTGCTATGTCTCCCGTACTGTTCTTAACAATAGATGTGACCATAATATCTATAAGCTTAAGTGGTAAGTATGAATGTCCTAAGCATAGATTAAAGATCTAAGTTGACTATGTCAATACTCTTGATAAATGTATTCCAGCTTTTTAAAGGTGCTCGATGCTGAACCCGTCATGTCCAGGAGACTTGCCTCTCGTCATACTTTTAATAACAGATTGTAGTTTCTTACATGTCATCCTCAGTGGTGGTTCTGACTGATTTGACACTGCATCCTTCACCCTATGCACAGTTTCAAAAGGTGAGCTCACTTTAAATTAATCTTTGAAGAGATTTACTATCTCAATAGTCACTCTTACCCTCCATGCTACCTGGAAGACTTGCAGTGTTGTTTAGCTTCATAGTACCTTTCCAAAAAGATGAGATTTTTTTTTAGTGTGAAGTGAGTAAGTCTTGTTTATTATGAAATTCTTTTACATATTTATTCCATCCCTCTATACCCTTATATTTCCCTCCAATGCCCCAGGAGCTTTTTTACTATTTCTGGCAGCATCACATAATATAAATAATTGGATTAAAACAGAAATTATCCGCACATAGTTCAAAAACCCTAACAAAATCAAATATTTTTAACTCGTTATTACACAGAAAAGAATATTTATTTATTTCTTCTGTATTTCTTTCTCCCCGATGAATACTATTGTAAATAGATTGTATAGCACAAATTTTTACTTTAATAACGGATAAGTGACATTCTAAATTTAATGATCAAAAAGATCTGATCAAAAAGAGCCACGGATAACCTCAATGTTTACAATTGTGTAACAAGACAGTGGTCTAACCAACGCTTACACCCGTTTCAGTCACTTATGAATGTATACGTTGGCGATGACAAACCCAAATAATCAATATCCGCGTATAATAAAACTTATTCTGTACAAAAACTACGAAGCTCATTAAAAAATAACTCACGCCGGTGCGCATTGAAGGCTCCCAAGGCAAATACTGATTTTATTATTTTTTTTGACTGATTTTATTTATATTTATTATAGAAGACAATTCACTGAGACATTCTGTAAAATGTGGTAGGTTTTGACCGCAGTCAGTTGGCATGTATATATTTATAACCATAAAACTTCGATTATTAACCTCTCTTTTGACAGCACAAATCCGATTTTCTCTTACTTTGCACAACACGCAGGTAACTAAGTGCACTTTTTCACCACAGTATGGCAAGACCTCCGTATGGTCTGCCTTTACAAATACCAGCTGAAGTGTCTACTGAAGACTTGGCCATATAACCGAATTTTTATTTTCTTTCGTTGCCTAAAGTAGCCATTTATCATGAGATGAATCGTTAGCTCATTTAACAATTATACAATATAGAGAAAAACTAAAGGCGGTCTTATTGGAAAAACTTCTTACTGAAAAAATTGCTGTATAGATAAAAAGGAAATAAAAACATGGGTAGAGTGCACTAAAATCTAAAATATTAATTAATATACATGTCATAATTTGCATTACATTTCTTTTCAAAAACTTAACGTGCATAATAATGCATAATTTGCTCATAAATAGGCAGAAAGAGATGAAACGTTACCCCTACACTAAGATTTTCTCTTGTATCGTAGGGGCAGTTTACAAACATAAATTGCACAAGAACAAACATCCAGACCCGAAACAACTATTTGTAGGCCATACAAATACTTGTACCGTACCGGATTCGAACCCGCGACCCCCAGCGCAGCCACTCATTGCTAAGCCCCTGTGCCACGGAGTCGTCAAAAATGATCAAAGATGAATCAAACTTGACTTTGTCTGAACATACTCCCCCCGTTGATCCACGTCCCCCGACAGATCAAAAATTTCAAACTCTTGATCTATATGTATTATAAATAGAATAACAATAAAAATAAGAAAACTGCAAAATATGAATAAATGGTGACTCTATCTACTTAATTAGAATTGACAAAAAAAGAACCCTAACACCAAGCAGTAAGATCTGAGTATATCGGTTAACGAAGAAGAACGCCTTAACTTATTATTTAAAGAAAATTCCCAATACCATAAAGTTTATCGTTAAATTTTATATTAATAATTTCATTTGTTCTTTTAAATCAGGTTATAAAAAGTACTTCGCAATTCGCCCTGATGATGCATTGTCGAGTCTTCCATATGATTATGCTAGTGTTCTTCACTATCCTGCTCGAGCTTTCTCTAAGAATGGTCAAGCTACAATACTTACTAAGGTATAGACGTTTTTAATTAGATTAATAAAAGTAGAAATTTTAAATTATTGGACAGCAACACTGCAACAATTTAACTAGAGTGGATATTTGGAAAGCGTCTTCAGCTATGCACCCCAGGCGGGGTTATTATTTTTCCCCCTCGGCTATGTACAATCATTGCAGAAACATAATTAAAACTCGTCCAAAATATTTTGGAGTACTTGCAAGAAAACACCCAGTTCTTCGCTTACACATCTGTTGTGGCAAGGAAATTTTGAAAACGATTGCAAATGTACATTAAAAGTGACGAATTTATCCAGTTTATCAAGTTACGTCTGCTTAATAATGAAATTAATGTTGGTAATTTCCTCGACATATTGCAGAATTTATAAATTACGTAACAATATTATTTAAATGAGAAAGTTTTATTTGATATGAATACAATACGTAGGTAATGCTGGGCGTGTACTTTGGCTACCGACGGCAATACGTCATAGTATTTTTAATTAAGTTTGTAGTTATTAGAAATTAATTAATAATTAATGAGTATGAGTTAAACTGTACTTGGGGTGAAAAATCGGAAATGCCTATAGAAGTGAATTCCAATTATCCACCCTATCTGTAGTGGATAGATGAACACACGTTTCCGAGTATCCACTCTAGAGTGGATTTTTAGGGTACATAAACGGAATAACCCAGATTAACAGGTTTTTAAGTGCACCAGAATCGGTTTATCACTCTTAGATAAGCCTGTTTATTCATAACCCACAGACGTAATAAGAATGGCTTCCATTAAATACCTATACAAGTAAAAGTAAAGGACAGTAAAATTACAGCCTACACACGTCCTGTTACTGGGCAAATATCACATATACACTGCTCCAGTGCAAATATAGACACGTTTGTAAATTTTTTTATATAATAATAAAGTACCATAAAATAAATTATTAAATATATGTTATATTGTTAAATTGATATACAAATATATCTGAAACTTATTATAAAAACCTTATTTTCATATAGGGTGATATAAAAATCGGTCAACGTGAATTACTTAGCAAAATTGATGTGGAAAAAGTTGGTATCATTTATGATCAGGAATGTTTAGAACGAAATCGACAATATCTTTTAAGAACTTGTCCTAGTGTTGTAAAAGTTAATAATACTGAACCCAAAAGAGCAACAGAAGAAGAAATTAATAGCTACTTTAAAGATAGAATCTGGCCTCTCGGGATGATAAGCTATAAATTGAGGGACAGACTCGAATTTTGTAAGTATTTACATTCACACGTAAATGTTCCAATAAAATCCATCCACTGCTATTTTATGGAGTTTAAAGTATCGATTTGATTTGCAGCTACTGAAGAAAGAGAAAACATAAAAGCGGTCATTCGTCACATAGAAAAAGAAACGTGCATTAAATTCAACGACCTTACAGAAACTAATGATACTAAGGTAGTGGAGCCAACCACCACTACAATTGCGACTAATAGTAATAAAACCAATAAATTGAAAATTGAAAGTAATGAAATAACTACTCCAGGGATAAGTGACAATGAAATCAAAGAAAGTGACATATCAGATATAGATAAATCTGTAATTACAAGATTGAGTTCTCAAGAAAATTCTGAAGAAAGCCAACGTTTGTAATATTAATATTATTAATTAGTTTAAATTATTCATGATAATATATGGTTTTTAAAATAATTAAACATACAATTTCTCTTATAGCCACAATAGCAACTATTTCAAACAATAATGCAGTTCAAGAACCAACAATCATATCTTCTTCACGACGCCATACGGGCAATGTTTTAACGATATATCGAACCGCGAAACGGGGCTGTCGGTGCCCGCCGCCGAGAAAACCAAATGGACCCAACGTATTTATAAAAAAATATTTCATTTTTCAGATAAAAATTAATCACTAATTTAAAACTAGCACACGTTATAATTATTTCAGATACTAGAAATAGATGGGGATTGCTTTAATTCTGTCAACGAATTATTACACATTTTTGTTCACGTATTAGGACTGGATCATCAACATAACATGCACGACCGGGACTCCTTTTTACACATTGTGTGGAATAATTTAACTGCAGGTAAAAATATTTTTAAATGTACTGTTGCGCGCCATAGTTGAAGCCTGGTACATGGCGGGTGATTATTAGCGCCACTACAAAAATGTGAGATATAAACATGTCTTAATAAACACCACTTGCGCCGATTTTTGTATCATACATTCGGTTCCTGAATCACTCTTACATATATTTTGAACCCCTCATAAAAATTCAATTTCAAAGTGATATTGAAAACCCACCCCACAATATAGATGCAGCTTGGCTCTACTACGTACACAATCTGGTATTCACTATAAGGTGACATGAGCGCCAAAAGCAGATTTTTCACGCCTTAAAAGTGCAATTTTAAGAACTCCATAAAGTGATAAAACAGCTTACACACCTCAAGATAATCTCTATGCGACTAGACCCGGACTAAACTAGGGCCAGTCTTCGGCTCGTTTTAAGTCCGTAACATTATTCTCGAGTCAGGCTTGAGTCGTTAATGCTTCATATTTGAAAAGCGTTACACTTAGATGCTTTATTATATTATGATCCAAGTAAGTCTCTAGATAAACTTTGACTGAACGACATAATGTGTCGTGTAGTCCAGGCTTGTTATTTATTTATAATTACGATCAGTGCAACATACGATCTCATTTTTGAAAATTACGATGTTCGTTATTATGTTTTTGGGAATTTTACAATATCTTTCAACTTATCCAGAAATCGAGAAAGAAATGAAAGAGAAACTTCCACCAGCAGCTGCTGCCGGTTTTCCTTATGACTACCAAAGCGTCATGCATTATCCATGGTTACAAATCAAAAATGGTGTCACCAGCATTATGTACCCTATATGGGTAAGATATTATTTATTTTATATTATTTATTTATTTAAGAAAATACACTATTTACCTAAGAAAATACCACCTTTCGTCCCCAGGGGCGACTATGAAAAATGCCAGGAAATGTCATTACCTTAGATAGATAGTGGGATCACCGTGTATCACCAGATCTGCGATGGGCCACAGTATCAAAGGGTTTTTGTAGAATTAGAAAAAATGGGTTTCGACAAAACCCCTGCCAAGCATGTCGATTATTATGATTAATGGCAAATCGTCCCTACAAGAAAATAGACCCAGATCTAGTTGTAGGTTTTTACTTGTGATTGTTATGAATCTGAAAAGTCAAATGCGTATAATATAATCTTATGCCAACGAAGATATATAATCGTTGCCTATGAAATTGCCAAGCATATCAATTTCTACGATTAGTAGCAAATCGTCCCTACAAGAAAAGAGACCCAGATCTCGTTGTAGACTTTTAATTGTAATTGTCATGAATCTGAGAAGTCAAATGCGTATAATATAATCTTATGCCAACGAAGATATATACTCGTTGCCTATTAAATTGGCGTTGACCTGGCCACTTTAAACTGTAATAGCTGAAGTTAAGAATGTTATCATTTTTCAAAATCAGTCATTGATTTTGTTTCCGAGTGTTTTGTTTTTTCTGTGATATCACTATATTTTTTAACCTTGAACTCGTAATAATTCGTGTTATTATTGAAATTTCCAACATAAAACAATGCGCCTCAAACGGTACACTATATCAAAATGTAGAAGAACCTAACACTAATAATAATCGAACTGTGTGTTTTGGTCTAACCGCTTTTGTTCAGGAAATTTTGACAACACAAACGAACCTCGTGGCCGTCCGGAAAAAGAAATTGATAATCACCAACAGAGTCCGATACTAAAAATGTATGCGTCTCAAACTATGGTTTAGCATTTGCAACAAATCGGTAAAATTAAGAATTCTTATAAATGGTAACCCACGAACTAAATAACGCACCACGAGATACCTGCGTGCAAGCTTGCAAGCAGGGGGCCTTTCAACTTTATTAGTCATTAGCGATACAGTTTATCCTAAACGACAATAGCATACGTTTATTACAGTAGTTAAATCCAAGTATCCTAGCCAAGCAGTGTCGTAAACTAAAGATTAATCAGAAGCTTATCGTGAAAAATTTTGATCTACTGTTGGTGTTATTCATTAAAACCTCTTGCCATTCAGTGTCACGTTTATTGCTGGTCTATTATCAAGAATTAAAAAATTCTTCGCCTTTACTGTTTTTTCATCCACCGTAGTCACTCATCTTGCCCCAACTGAGTTCCACTTTTTAGAAGTTTAGATAACTTTTTAATATAATATATCTATTACTGTAATCTACTAATACTGTAATATTACAGTAATGTAATATATATCTATTAATGTAATATCTAACTGCAAAATATAGTTATTTATAAAACTGTCTATAGATGGTTTTATAAATAACTATATTTTACAGTTAGATTTAGCTAAAAAGACGGCCAAGGACATGCAAAACGGACACGTGCACCGAAGGTTCTCTAAGACAATACTATGCAACGTTTAGCTCGGTTCCAACTCGCACTTCAGTCACTTGCAGTCAATTTTTTTGATTTTTGTAAGATTACAAGTTTGACCATTGTATGTATTACCGTTTTTAAGGCAGACACACACACAAAAGCTATGAAAATAATACGTCTTTTCTATGGCGACCGCCTTAATTTTTATATTTCTTAATTATTTGTTGGGAAAACCGCAATCCGTAAAGTAATATATCAAAACACTAGTTTTACCGGCATTATTATAATACTAATGTTACTTTTTTCTTTTTCACTGTACTTTTTCATATTACTAAACATACCTATTGTATAATTACAGAATGATGGGTGGGCAATGGGTCATTGGCAAGGTCTTAGCTCAACAGACGTTCAGAAATTAAATCGTATTTATGCTGGACAATGCACTAAATATCTGAAACTGGCGAATGCTGACGAATACAGATAAATAATATATCTTAATGATGTATTATTAAAATTACTCCATTTAGTCTTGTACTTATAATACAAATTAAAAAATCAACAATATCAAAACAAATTTACTTTCTTTCCATAAATCCTTGTAACCAAAAATATATTAGATTCTAGCTATTATCCGCGACTTAACCCGCATTTACAAAAAAGAACTGACTGCTGCTGATTTATAGTATTAGTCGTCTTTGGACAATTAGTTTACATATCGAGAAGCCGATATTATGACCAATGCTATTATCTTGAAAACTATGATGGAAAAAACTCAAAATGAGAAATAATTGAAGATTTTTAATCTAACATTTTTATTAATTTCAAGATTATCAATTTTAGAAGAGAAATTAAAAGCAATTTATGTCCCACCTTATCCTTTATCACTTCATATTTATGTTGTAAAAATAATGATGCGGTACCTATTTTAAAAATCGATTTTGCATCAAAACTATAACAGAAAGAAGACCTTAGACCTTTTTGAGTAAAATTTCAAAAGAAGAAAGTTTTGTTTCTACTTTTTTATATTTCTAATAGTTTATCAGATAATCATCAAAAACAATTTATTGAATAATATTTTTTATTTCTCAAAAAAATCCTGCATGTTTATGCTGCATTTCGGATAAAATATGGCCTCGATCCCTACTGGCATTGTTCTCTATCTGTTCGTGAAGTTTCATCAGAATTGGTTTCGCCATTCTGAAGATTAACACGGACCGACAGATAGACATTTTTTTTAATTACTAATTATGTATGTCTCAATAGCATGCAAATAACCTCTTCAACTTAATTCAAACCAGTTATATTGATATTTCAGACAGACACTTCAATTTTATTTATATGTACAGATTAAGGCCGAATACGACGAGAACTGGCGAAACTTTATGTATTTCTGTTCACTAGAACTTTGACCTGAAGTAATTCTAAGCGTTAAAACATACTTTGTAAGTTTGTTCGCTTCCTTCACAAGGTGTCTGGCTTTTTTAATTTTTAAAACAAGTCAATATACCAATTTAAAAAATGTGTTAAGAAATGGTATCTCAAAATTATTTTTCCAAAACTCTCTGAATATAAAGGGGGACGCCCATTTTCGGCCATGGAACGCCCAACAATGTGAATTTGTTAAAAAATTATATCTTTATTTATGGTTATTAATCGCGGTATTCATTTATCCTCAAACAATGTGAATATTTTTGCACAAATTAAAAGTACCGGAAACATAATAATAAAAATTAGGTAAATCATTATGTCATTAGTTTGAGAATAAAAAAAAAGTGTTGCCAATCACAAAACACATTTAAAAAATCGATTCTCTTTTTCGATTGATTATTTACGGTGTCATCATTACAGTGCTAATATAATTTTTAAATAATTATGATGTTACGATAATTAAACAAGCGAATTACTAGCTGATTTCTAATGAATTCTTTAGAGAGTAACAAATGCTACGGCACAATTTAACTGTTAATCTTAACCGATCTTCTTTAAAAACAGATAAGAACTGTTATTCTTATCTGTTTTTAAAGAAGATCGGTTAAGTTATTCTTATCTGTTTATAACAACACATTTAAAATAGAATCATGTTATGATAACGAAACAAGTTAGTTTCCAGCTGATTTACCATGAATCCTTTAACCTTTTGAGCGCCAAAGTCGCCTATACTTGACCAACACCTGCGGGCCCTGAGCGCCAACGACGTCTATAGTTGACAAAAAACCCGGCTCCGAAAAATATGAAATATAGATATTGGAAAATTATTACAGGTATTATAATTCTACACTCCTCAAAATAGGAATAACCCAGCAACATGTGAGTATAAAAAACAAGTCTTCTAGAGCCACAAGTACTAAGAAACATTGAACTAATAAAAATGGATTTTTATCTAAGCAAATACTATGTCCAGCACGCCAAAGTCGTCTATGGTTGACCGCTAGTGTCAAACGCGGGAGGCATAGATTTCTTGAAAACTATCCAAAATTCAGCTCAATGGTGTTTTTTTTCTATTATTATTGATATTTGAATAAAATTAAAGGTTATAAACATAAAACTATAATTAGCTACATGAATAAAAAAATGTTATCAGATTATCTTCGCATAATAAATCTAACTCTAGCGCATCTTTAGCGCGTCATCGAAAATCAGTTCACTGGGCACCGTGATCAAGTATAGACGACACCCTGATGACGTCATAAGTGATTACCGAGAAAAGTAGAGCAATGCAACATGAACGATTCCTCAGAACTCATTCGGATTTTGGAAAGCGTCGATGATGATGAATTTTGATTTTTGATTGATGAATTGAATTTTTGATTGATTGGTGAACAAATATGTTTATTTATTCCATGACCAAGATTTTAGTATTATAAGGCTGATTTACCTAGTGCGAATAATTATATACAATTGTTGATTAATGAATAATTATGTACCTTTTTTAATAATAATACAAAATTACAATTAATGTTTTTTTTACTTAGGGTGTGAAGAGCAATTTTTCATTTTGTGTTGTGCCATTTTCTTTCCCAGTCTCAAAATCATCTAGCAGCATCAGCATCATATCAAATCCCCATTGTCATAAGAGTGTAAGACTTTTCTTCTGTGCGTCACTTGGCCTACGCCTTCCCCGACACATAAAATATTATGAATCGATGTCTGTATATTTCGGTTAGATCGATTTTGAAATCGATACACAACATTCTAAGAATGTTTCAAAAGGGAAGGTCAGCTACGCCGTTGTCGTCCAGTCGCGACAGTGTCGTCATTAGGATGGAGAGTAGTGCTAATGTTTACTACTATTTTATTGTTATTGTTTGTTTTTTATTTATGTTTATATGTACAAAGTACATATATAAAAAGAGTGGAAGACGGCACAAGATTAAATAAAACATACAGTTTATTAAGAGTCATTTATAGCATAAAAAACCAACAAAAACAAGTTATTTCACGTTATCGATATATCAACTCTTGGCAACACTATTTTGTTTTGGCGCTTTGGCGTACAGGACACGGTAATGCGTTTTTGGCGTGGCGCTCAAAAGGTTAAAGCTTAACAAAACGCAACTGCACAATTTTTATCAATTTCAAGACAAAAACAACCGTTGTTATCGGCTTGGTTGAAAACGTTAACAACCGCCTTCACATCTGTAGTTATGATAATTAAATAAGCGATTTAATAGCTGATTTACAATGAATTCTATGCAATATAACATAACGCTACTGCACAATATAACTGTTATTCTTATCTTTTCTTAACAATACATTTAAAATGAAATCATGTTACGATAATTAAATAAGTGAATTTCTAGCTGATATACCATGAATTTTTTAGAGCTTCATAAAACACTTCTGCACAATTAACTGTTCTTAAAAATACACTTAAAATAGAATTTAAATAAAAAAAGAAAATACATTTTAAAAAGCGAGCAGAAGTTAAAACACCTCCAAGATTATTCTCTTTTTATGAAATTATTAATCGAATAATAATCGAACCGCTATGGATATTATGATGTTATGATAATTAAACAAGCGAATTACTAGCTGATTTACTATGAATTCTTTAGAGTACAATAAATTGCTACTGCACAATTTAACTGTTATTGTTATCTGTTTTAACAATACATTTAAAATGGAATCATGTTATGATAATTAAACAAGTGAATTTTTAGCTGATTTACCATGAACTGTTTAGAGCATAACAATACGCTACTCCACATTTTAACTGTTCTTAAAAATACGTTTAAAACATAATTTAAAAAAAATAAAAGAAAATATATTTTAAAAAGCGTCTAGAACTGAAAGCGAAACTCAAATATTATTATTTTTTCATTAAATTACTAATCGAATACAAATCGATATCGTTTCGTTGTATTTATGTTAGTTATGTGGCAACATCAAATCTGACAGCTATAGGAAATATGTCATGCGAAATGAAATCACAATTCAACAAGTAAAAAGGTACTAGTGAATTCACAACTAAATAGTTGCCATTGTGTTATTTTGTTTGTTATTTTTCAAATAAATTCTCAAGAACTCATATGGAGTGAGATTGTCGATCACATTATAGTGTGACAACAGTTAAAAGTAAGTGTTCAACAGTTTTTAATTTATTAATTCTAGTGCTGATATTTGATAGTGATGAATGTATGAAATGATGAAGTTGTTTTATTTTTTAACATATGCACAAGCTATACCTGACAAACAAAATAGCTTATTTGTAACACGGCGATAAGATTAGCTAGCTAACACCAGATAGTTACGAAATGGACAATTTTTATCAAATACCAAGAAATAAGACAGTCGATTTTTAATTGTTTTTGGACTACTGGTAGGCAGTCAGTCCTTAATTATTAAATAATATAGGGCATTAAGTTTTAAGTAACATTTACCTATATTTGAGTTTAAAGTAAACAAATCTATTTTATTTTGTTTACTTTGTCTTATTTTTTTTTATTTAATATTATTTCAGTTGCCATCGTCATCGCGGGAGTGTCATGATTGCGAAGAATTGATAAAGCAGCAACACGTTAAACTTTAGAACGGGAACCATCTGAATCATCTAGTCCATCCTTGTAGCAATCTAAAGTGAGTAATGTATTGAACCTAGAACAACAAAGCTTAGATCATACATCATACAATATACTGCTGCCTAATTTTGTAAGAGCACCACTCACACAAAATCAATGTTTTTTCCTGGTTGTAACAATTCCAATCAACTCACTGTTCCATCAGCATTGCGGGTATGTATTTTTGTGAATACAATTACTATGTACCTCCAGAATGTAGAATCAGTAACTACCATTTAAATAGTAACTCTTGGTATTTACTTTTAGAATTAATATATAACCATATTAAACATTTAGTGTAGCACAAATTATAGATTTTTCTACATTATTGTAAGATAATATTTACCATCATATAGACTTTGAAAATATTTACAATATGCCCGAATATACTGTACATTATTATCTACGCTTATCAAAGGCACAATGCCAATAAATTCTGTCTGAAGTGCCCAAAATGTCAAGTAAACATAGTGTATGCTTTGCACTTGCTGTATATTTGATGAAAGTAAGAACAGGAGATAGTGATGAATGCATATAGGCATTATTGCAAGTACCAAGAAACAAATTAGAGCGGCTCATGAATATGGCCCAAGAAATATTAAATCAGGATGTTGTTCCTATGAATTTTATCCATCGTTACCACTCTCTGTGCCAAATTCTATTCAGTAATTATGATATTATATCTGAGGCAAATAATTTCTTAGCTTTCCTAGATGTTTTTGTTATCCAAAATCCTAACAACATCATAGGTCACACTGTGTATAGAAAAAAGACCCATACAAACTGATATTTAAGCGGTGAATCTCACCATAATCCTTCACAGTTAGTTACCATGAGCAAATCTTTGTTACAGAGAGCATATGGGATCTGTGAGAACAAGCACCTGGCCGCGGAGCTTCAGCACGTCAAGCAGGTTCTGCACAAAATCAAGCTTCGGGTCCCACGTCTTCGCACAGTGACCAAGTGAAGCCGACCGCAGTTGAGCGTGTGCCTGCTGTACTACCGTATGTCAAGGGTGTCACCCCAACCAGATAGACATACATCAGATTTGATAGACCACAAATCCTCGTTAAAGAACATTAATTCCTACCAAGGATGATATGTGAGGCTACTGAAATTAAAAAACATCCTAATTTCAGTAGAGAAGGCGGTTGGGTACTACCACCTGCTTGGGACACTATAATTAATAAAATTAAAACAAACCCCAAGCATACCACTGCAAGACTTAAAGATAGAGTAAGTTCAATCTGCGTAGATTGGACTATAAAAATAATAATAAAAAGCTGAAGGTACTCCATGTCCCAATACTGACATTGGGATGGCAGTCACCTCAGTACCCCGTGACCATGGGTGCTATAAAGCACCTGAAACGTCAGGAATTAATAATAATAGTATAATAATAATATAACCATTTATTTCCGAACTATTGTAATACTAGTTAAAGTAAGTCCCTCTGTTCGGTGTGTCTTTTAGCTTAGGCCTCCAAAAGAAAAATCACGCGTCGGGAATTAAAAGTTAAAGAAATTAAAAGCGATAAAATTGGTAAAAGTAGTCGTTAAAAAACTGTATTTGTGAAAATAAAAAGCTTTATATCATAAAAATCCCGACTTTTTTTAAACCAATTCCTTAACCATTTCATTATTTTAATTGCATATTATCATTTCCATATGCTTTTATATGTGGGCACCCATGGCCGAAGTGTCTATGAACAGTGGGCATCCCCCTTTAGGACAAATTATTTTTACGTAAAAATATTTGTATTTTGATTCCGAAGCTGCATGTCTTCTTCATTTTCGACTTTTTGCAATACAATTTTTTTATTAACATAATTCGTTTTAATTACAAACGCCCATAGTAATAATATTGTATATTGCCAGATAAAAGTTTGCCGTCATAAATTACCAGCCGCTTCGATGTGTGACGTAAGGTGACAATAGTCAGTTATGTCTGTATTTAAAATCGTTAATTGTAGAGGGTTTACACGCCTTCAGGGTTGTCAATTTTTTTTAATTATTATATATTGGTTGGGTGTTTTACAAAAAAAAAACATGTTTTTAATCAATCGCATTTTATTATATGAGATTTATTTGGTACAATATTAGCATATAAAATATGACACTTTTACTAAGCAAGTAGACAACAACATAGACTATCAAATTATATCAAGTATTAAATGGTTATGAGTAAGTACTTAAATTACTATCACGTATTTGCGAGATCAAAATTCTTTAAAAAAAAAGATTCATTTTTCAATTTAGTAATCTCAAGACTACTTAATCATCACGTTGAGGTGAAAGAGAAAACCCAAATTTATAAATAAAAATATATATAACAATAGGTACCAAGCTTAAAATGTTTATTTAGAACCTAGGTACCTACTGAAAACAAAAAATAATAAATGAAAAACATACTTTAGGAACTTTAGGAAATGAGCGTGTAAATGACACATTCTAGTAAATACCAAAGAAATACAGCAATACACTTTTTGTGATAACACAAGACATAATATCAAATTCTTATCACACATTAATGCATATTCTTCAGGACTTTCATTGAATTGTAAAAGTTCTATAATTTTAACAATGTTACTTTCTGGTACGGCTATATCTCGATCCAAGAGCTTAGGTTTAAAATTAATATCATCCGAATCATTTGTTTTTATGCATTTGTAATAAGATATATTAAAAGTTTTTGAATTGTCATTAACACTTTCAATTAATCCTAAATAGTACTTCCATTTATTTGACTGATAGTATCTTACCAACACTTTTTCTCCTAATTCATAATACTCTTTTTTCTTTGAATTCTTGTCAATTTGGTGTATATCTTCTTTTATTATTTGTTTATCCATATTTATAGATTCTTCCATATCTACAGATTCATCAATATTTGTAGACTCTTCCATACTTATTTCACAATTTGGAACATCACTAAGTGCTTCAATTATGTCAGAATCACTATGGGTGCTAATCTTCCTCAGTAGTTATAGAACTATCTAGAGATTTTCTTGGTCTCTTAACCGGTTTGACGTTTTCCTTTTTGACAGTTTTTCTCAAACGACGTTTTTTCTTCCTTTTTTTACTGCTAGTCTTCTCTCTGCTATTTGCAGAACAACTCACAACATCCCTAATATCCTCATTATCGTCACTACTTAAAACACCATGAACGTTAATATTAAAAGCAATATTATCTATTTTTCTTACCTTTTTTTTAAACCATCCGAATTTTCAGTATGTGGTTTTTCTATGATAATATTGCGTTCTGAAGGAAAAGTTTGTGATAAAATGTTAAAGCTTGTATCAATTTCTTTAAAGTATTTAGTTTTAGTTTTTGCAATAGGCTCAGTCTTATATTCTGGTAAAATGATGTCGGAAAGAATATTTATCTTTTTGGGCTTGTCTTGGTCTTTTATCGAAATCACGGGTAAATCAGTTTCTAATACTAAATCAGTGTTTTTATAGCTTCCATGAGATCCATTTTTTCGTTTAAAATATAACTAATGTCATAATTGTAATTTTTTAAAACGACCATGAGCCAACCATGTCGACTTGACTTTGCCTCGTACATTCGATTTTGAGAGTTGGGAAGTCAGCAGTAAATCATCGGCTGTTACTGATTCCAGGTACAGTCATAACTTTCTTGTTTCTTTTTGTTATCGTAGGATTTGGCTGCCTGATCTGCTTTAAGTAGTCTAGCAACGCATTGTCAATCCCATATGATGCCACATCTTCTTGATACTCTGGTACACGCTTCAGTACTTCTCTTGGGTTAAATGGGTAGATCCCCGTTGCTCTGAATCCGCTTTTGATATTTTTAGGTGAATATATTTCAACTTGATCAACTAAAGAATGTAAAAGTTTTGGGAAATGATTCTTATTCGGAGTAGTTTGGTTGGGATTTTCCATTTTGTACTTGAGTAATATTGCTCGCCACACTTTTTTAAGTGGTGTAAAAAAAGCGACATCAAGGGGTTGTGTTATGTGTGTCGAGCTAGATGGAATGAAAACAAACTGAATATTGTGACACTCACATAATTCGATAACACTCACACTTAAGTGGCTTGATAAATTATCGCATATAATGACCTTTTTACCAGGTAAAGACTTTGCCCAATCCATAATAGTTGTGTTAAAGTAATCTTCAAAAACAAAAGAATCAAACCACCCAGATCTTGTGCGTTTATACCTAGTACCACGCGGTCCACCCTGTATCCATTCAGAATATAAATTCTCTGCCTTATATACAACGTAAATAGGTAGCAAGCTCCCGTTCGCTGTAACTGAGAACATCAGCGAAATGGCTCCTTTAGTTGAATTGAGCACTCGCTCGAGATATTTTTTACTCCTCGCCTAAATATACATTTTGAAGATCCTGGATCATCTGTTGAATTTGTTTCGTCAAAATTGAGTATATTTGATGGAGCAACATCTTTCAAAGTCTCTTCTAAATTTCTAAAATATTCCATGAACTCATCAACCCCTTTCTCAGCTCTATTTTTTTTTAATATTCTGCGTGCTACGAGCTGACAAATCTGATGAATGTCTTGACAAAAAATTATCAAGCCATGCTTTTCCAGGAGGTCCTCCGTTAAATACATCCTCGCGGCCATTCTTTTTCAAGTATTCAAACACGACGAGGCGAAGATCCAATTTACTAAGTGGGCATCCGAATTCCCCAGCAGCAATTAAAACTTTAATAAATTTGGCTTCTTCGTCATCAGATAATCGCGTTGGACATCCAACAGACTTTGTATGAGACTTGTTTACTTTATTTAATATTGTCTGTTTAGGAATTGCGAATTGTCGCGCCGCCTCTCTTGCTGATATCTGTTTTTTTCTAACAAGATCTACAGCTATTTCAAGCATTTCATTTGAATAATTTTTATATTGCCGGGCACCAAGGCGCCTGCGACTTTTTCTTGCTTTTTTTCTTGATTTTGGCTTAGATGTATCCATTCTGTAAATATATATGGACATAAATAATAAGCAAATATACATATTTTAAACTGTATTCTAGGTATTATACCAAAACTAATTGTAAAACTAAGTTATAAGCAAAAAGTACCATCCACTCATGAGTAGGTAGGTACCGAATTCTAAAATTATCAGTGGGAAGCCCTAGTATTATTTTTCTGTGGCCAAAGTTAACGGCACATGTTTGCTACAAGTCATTGTAACATTGGGCCATTTGAATTACTGATTAATAGAGGACTCATATTGATTTGAGATGTACACCATATTAGAACCAAGATTTCACTTAATAACGTATCAAAAATTCCACTCACCTGGATCATTTTTCAAGGGTGAGCTTTATACTCCAGGAACAATTTGGGACCACCGGCAGAGACTCCTATTTGACAACTGTTGACAGCCAACTGAGTGAACTTAGTAAGCAAACGTATGATTGGTATTGCCAGAAATATATTCTATTTTCCACAATATGTTGTAAAATGTTGCTATATGAGATATATTTTTTACTACAGCAAATTTTTGTTATTTTTGTCAAGTGGCCAATGTTAAAATTAGAAACCAAAGTTGGCGGGTTTTACGGTATGGGGTAACTACATAATTAACAAAAACCGACATACTAAGGGAAGTAGTCTTGTGAGAAATTACACGCACAGTACCTACCCCTAATATTGGGCAAACAGGGACTTTTAATTTTTTTCTTTATTATTTATGCAATTTTCATTACGGCATCTTGTAAAACTCACAAGAAAAAACAGTTTACAATTCGTATTCGTACGTACAATGCACCAATTCAGAAAAAAAATCGATGTCAATTCAATAATTTTTCTTTACAGAATAACTACTTTACCAAAACTTATAATCTATACTAATATTATTAAGAGGAAAGATTATTATTTTTGTATATTTGTAACGAATAAATTACAGAATTTTTAATCTGTAGGAACCAATATTATAAATAAAAAAGATTTAATTAAGAAGTAAACAATGCTCTTTCTGTTATTCATTACTCTGCATACCGAGCTAGCGGACTAGCGTACGGCTACGTGATGTTCGAAAGACAGCAGGGCATAGATATATACTAGAGAGGTATACATACTATAGTTCATAAGAGATAACTTGATCTCTGCGACAGCTGTCAGTAAAATCACGCCTATGAAGTCCTGAATTTCTAAGTAGTACAGACAGTACCTGTCATTGTCATACTTTATGGGCATACCGACCCATTTTAATTGCCTAAGGCCGAATACGACGCGATTGACCTTGCCCGTTTCGCAGCAAACCACGCGCCGTCTATCGAACATCACGTGTGTTACCCGTACGCTTTGTAACACCATACCTAATATATTATATTTGACTGAGCTAGCTCAGTATGCAGAGTAATGAACAACACAGAGAGCATTGCTTACTTCTTAATTAAATCTTTCTTATTTATAATATTAGTTCCTATAGATTATAAATTCTGTACTTTATTCGTTATAAAATATTGTTCGAAAAGTTATTGAATTGATATGGATTTTTTTTCTTAATTGGTGCATCGTACGTAAAGAACCTCATATAACTGAAAATGTTTGTTCTTGTGAGTCTTACAAGATGCCGTAATGCATATTGCATAAATAATAAAGGAAAAAAACTAAAAACTCGGTGATTGCCCCATAGTGGGGATAGGTACTGTGTATGTAAATTCTCACAAGACTACTCCGACTGGTCAATCACTTCGCATCCGAAGTATTTCGGTTTTTCTTAATTATGTACTTACCCCATGCTTTCGGACAATACATTGACTATGACATTATTTGCGGTCTCTGTGCTTGCACTACTCTGTACATTATTTTCCGACTCGGTCGTGATATTTACATTTTTAGTGTTTCTCACTTGCCTAGAAAAGTATAAATGATCAGTTTGGCTAATGTAAATGAGTAAAAATGCAGCCTATTAGGCAGCCTCAAACAAAAAATTACCTTACAAAATATATAAGTAACCTCAAAATACAACATTCGAGCAGCGAGTTGTAACATTTATTTCTTTTCCTACCCATATTCGCATTTATAGTCACTTAAATGCGTATAAAACACAAAATTAACGATTTTCGCTACAGACATAACGACTGTTGTCACCTTACGTCACACGTCGAAGCGCCTGGTAATTATTACGGCACTTTTATCTGGCAATATACGATATTATTATTAGGTGTTTTTAATTAAAACGAATTATGTTAATAAATAATATTTTGTATCGAAAATAAAGACGGCAGGCACCTTCGGAATCACAATACAAACATTTTTACGTAAAAGAATTTTTCCTAAATTAAAATTCACAGAGTTTTGGAAGAACAATCATTTTCAAATATCATTTCTTAACATTTATTTAATTTGTTTGATATATTTAATTATTTATATTAAAAAATTTTAAAACGACGGGCACCTTGTGAAGGAACCGAACAAACCTACAAAAAATGTTACGCTTAGAATTACTTCAGGTCAAAGTTGTAGTGAAGAGAAATACATTAAAATTCGCCAGTTCTCTTCGTATTCGGCCTTAAGTCGTATATTGTAAGAGTTTGTAATGAATATGCTGATTATTTATAAAAAAAAATTTAAGACCCGTACATGTTCTAAGTCGTTATCATAATCATTACATAAACATAACATAAACACTCACGCCTGTCACCCAGAGGGGTAGGCAGAGACTACAGACTTCCATTTGCACGATCCTGACACACCTCTCTCGCCTCCTTCACATCCATACACCTACGCATACATGCTCGTCGGTTACGGGTACTCCTAATTTGGCCCGTTTTCAATAAATCGCCAATTTGGTCGATAAATTTTCGCCCAGGACGTCCCTTTCCGACTTTGCCATTCACTTCTGCACCATAAATTTTCTTTGTCACTCCTTCCTCATTCATTCTTTCCACATGACCAAACCACCGAAGCATTCCTTTCTTAATCCTGGTCACAACGTCATCTTGCAAACCACACTCTTCTCTTATTACACAATTTCTTACCCTGTCATTCAGATTCAGCCCTAACATACTCCTGAACGACCGCATTTCTACTGCGTTTATTCTACTCTCGTGCTTCTTCTGCCACACCCAACTTTCACTACCATACGTTAAAGTAGGGACCAACACAGCATTGTGAATTGCCATACGTGCCTTTTTCGACATATTTTAACTCTTCACAATAGAGTGCAAGGCCCCATTTACTCTATTTCCCGCATTCACACGTCGTTCTATATCCTTATCATATCTCCCATTCCTGCTAAATACGCAGCCCAAATATACAAACTCATCTACTTGCTCGATCAACTCCCCTTCTATTCTTATTTCACAAATCGTTTTTCTTTCTTCTCTTTCAAAAACCATAACCTTCGTCTTACTTGCGTTCACTTTCATACCCCTTTCTTTTAATGATCCGTTCATTAATGTAACCATCATTTGCAACTCGGCCGCCGACGTCGCAAGAATAACTTGATCATCGGCGTACAAAAGGCATTTGACGGTTAACTCACCCATTCTTAATCCGCATTCTTCAACTTTCAAATTTTGCAAACAACTGTCCATAAATAGGTTGAACAGCCACGGGGAAGCCACACAGCCCTGTCTGACACCTTTATGGATGTCAAACCAGTCCGAGTAGACCCCGTTGATCCTAACACAAGCACTAGAGTCCCTAACTCCAATGCTCGTATGAAGAGCGCTCAACCCAAATGAGTTCAGTGTTTGCCATAGCAAATCCCTATCCACTCTGTCACAGGCCTTTTCCAAGTCCATGAACGCACAAAAAACCTTTTGGTTTTTGCCAGAAACTTCTCCGCGATCATGCGCATGGAAAAGACTTGATCTGTACATCCCATCCCCTTTCTGAATCCCGCTTGCACATCCTAAATTTTTCCATCAGTTTCTTTCATGACCCTGTCAATCAGTACCTTAGCATATAATTTTCCCGCAATGCTAAGAAGGCTGATGCCACGGTAGTTTTTACAGTCTTGCTGCGACCCTCTTCCTTTATATACTGGGACTATCACGGCTTTGCACCAGTCTACCGGTACCCGCTTCAGTTCCCAGCATAAATTAAACAAGGTGTGCAGCAGGCCTGCCACCACTTCCTCTCCAGCCCTTAGCATTTCGAGTGAAACTCTATCATATCCGGCAGCCTTACCTGCTTTCATGCTTTTCATTGCTTTCATTATTTCATCTATACTTATTTCGCTACCTCTTTCCTCTTCTTTCCTCATTACAGCCCTTCACAAGTCCACTGCTGAACATAGGCCCCTGCCATGGGACATATGGTCCTGAGCCACCTGCATTCATCGACTTCCTGCATATCTTTACCCGTACAAGGTTGCCACTTGAGAACCTTTCTTTCATCGGGTGTCGGTTCTTCGAGCTATATAGCCGGCCCATTGCCACTTCATCTTATTAATTCATTGGGCTATGTCGGTTACTGTGTCAACTGCAGATATTCTCATTTCTAATTCTATCACCTAAGAAACCCCGTGTATAACCCACTCCATAGCTCGCTGAGCCACCTTGAGCTTCCTTATATGGTCAGCAGTTAAATATCTCGTCTAAAATTCATATGGCATCACTGGCAACACGCACTGGTTACACAATCTTGTCATCGAGTGTTAAGGTATAACTAAAGAGAAGATGTGTCATAATCCGTCGTGAGGACGTCTGATGTGTCATAGTTCAACTATTTGTCCTGGGTAAACATACTCGTCAATAACATCGGGCGTGGTACCTCTAACAACTACCGGCATGTGTTACATGGACGTTACCTACATATGATCTTAGTTTTGTTCATGTTCATTTTAACACCTATCTGTTCAGAGACTATTGAGGTCATTAAGATAGTGCTTAGGTCCCCTAATGATACTGCCATGAGGACTATATCATCAGCAAATCAAAGATGAGTGATGTACTCGCCGTTATACTCGTATGTATCCTTTCTAGCGTATCCAGTCTTAAAAAGATTTCCAATACAGCGGTGAATAGTTTCGGGGATACAACGTTACCCAGTCATACACCTCTCTGCAATTGGATAGGTTTCGTACTTCGGTCCTGTACCCGGATAGCCATCGTAGTCCTGCTGTACAAACACTTCAGTGCTTCGATATACTGGCAGTAAATTTGGAGCCGATGAAAGAACTGTACCACCGCCTAAATTTTGACCAAATCAAAGGCTTTCTTAGAATCCACATTCGCAAGCCGAAGGGACAAATTGTTCTCTTCGGTCTAATGTATGTTTTTTTAATATAGGAGAGGAGCAAACAAGCATACGGTTCACCTGATTTTGAATGACTACCGCCGCCCATAAACAACTGCAAAACCAGGGAATTGCAGGTGCGTTGCCGGCCTTTTAGAAAGGAGTAAGCTCTTTTCTTGAAGGTCCCTAGGTTCCTAGGTGATAAACTATTTCACAGAGAAGTCGTCCGTGGAAAAAAACTCCTAGTTAAACGTACAGTGGTGGACTGCCAAGCATCCAGATGGTGTGAAGTGTATCGGGAGGTTTCCCACGTAGTGCGTTCATGAAATTTGGCGGCTGGGATTAATTCGAACAATTCCTCAGAGTACTCCCCGTGGTAGATGCGAAAGAAAATCCGCCAGTGTATCGAGCCGATCGGAAAGCACTTAGTCGTCGACGATTCGAGTTACTCTGTGCTGGATAGGGTCAAGTGGAAGTAGCTGGCACTGGAGAGCCCCAGCCCAGAGATGGAAACAGTATTCCATGTGAGGCCGAATCTGCGCCTCGTAAAGTTACAGGTGGTGTGCCGGCATGAAATACTGTCCCGCTCTGCTAAGCAAGCCAAGCTTTTTAGAGGCCAATTTGGCCTTCTCTTCCAAGTGACCACGAAACTGCACGTCACTGATATGTCGACGCCGATGATTCCAATACTGGCTGAGGCAATAAGGGCAGTACCTTGAAACTGAGGAGATACAACAAAAGAGTTCTTTATAGCGGTTAACGCGCAAACTTGTGTCTCTGAGGGTTAAACTGGTTAGAATTAGTTGCCCCCAATCCGAGACTTTGTTCAGCAAAGACTCGACTTCAGACACAAGTTTGTCCCGGTACTCGGCGACGTTTTCCCGAGAAATATTGGCATGGCCGGTGTATAGAGCATCACCAGTCCTGTCATCCGCATAGCAATGAATGTTACCGGTTCTCAAAATATCATTGATATGCAGAAGAAACAGCGTTGGTTATAGCACGCAGCTTTGTGGAACGCCGGCATTAATAGGCATGTAATCGGAGCATACACCGTCTACAACGACCTTGATGTTCTAAGTAGTTGTATTGAATTTGCTGGGTAAAGGAGTTTCATTATTTTGATGTGCCGCTCTTACTGCTCTTCGAGGTCGAAAAGTGGTGGATAGATATAAAAATAATATTTATATATGTGTATATATATATATATATATATATATATATATATATATATATAAAAATATGTATATATATTTCTGCGTGGTGTAAACTTGCTGCAGTTATGTTAGTAGTAAAGTTGTAGCACGAACGAGTCGGCTCGATCAGGGAAGGACCATGCTCTCACAAAATACCTGCCAAAAAATAGTAGCTTAATGCTATGTTTCGTATGGTGAGTATAGAGAACCAAAGACCTTTTTTTAGTGCAAACGAGGCATTCTTATTGGCATCTTAGTCCTCATCGGTGACAACGCATCTGCATTTTGATTCGTAATCGAGGATATATGTAGATATCTATGGGCCACAGCAACCATTTACCATTAGATTGACTGTGGGCTCGTTAGTCACCCTATACTATAAAAAAAATATGCTTTCAACTTGGAGCTACCTCCAAGTCTTTTGCGCGTTGGAGGAATAGTGACTCTGTTTAAATGTAGCGAAGACATAGATTATAGACTATGGGTATTAAGTCGGTAAGAACCAGAAAATCTGTCTTCCCGAGGCGAATTAACAATAGGTATTTTTCGACCTACAACACTCGCGACCGAAAATCACTTAAAACAACGTAACGAGAAAATTTATAATATTTAAGTTGGTACTAAAATACAACATGCTGACTTAAGACCTCATAACGAATAATATCTCATATCCAGGATTTAACAAAAGTTTTAAAATCTTGTGGAAGTTTTTAACGTTTCTTGGAAACTACAGACTTGGCACAGAACACCAGCGTAAAATAGAAGCATAATGTTGCTGTGTTTCGTATATTATCACTTGAACCGGAGACCTGTTTTAGTACGGCGTATACCTTTTTGAGTCTTCAGAGGTGATAAAGAATCAGCGTTTCGAATCTTAATCGAGAAGTAGGTGTTTATGTGCCACAATATACACTTACTACAAGGTGGACTAATGACATAGATATGGGACTCTCTCACGATTTATTCGCACACAATCTCGTTTCTCTTACGTAATTTCTCTTACGTCGAAATTTCCTCTTAATTCTTTGTACTAACGAAATACGGTAGAGATAATAGAATCCACTACCCTCATATCATCCGGAGGCCGTCGTAAGAGGCGACAGACGGGTATAAAAAAAGAGATGGGCTTCTCTTTCAAATAATAACTCAAAATATAAAATCTGCGGTTGCTAATAAGCCTCGCTATAAAGCGTTGCAATTGCGGCAAATATTTGCTCCTGTGTTTAATAATAGTAGTAATAATAATAGTAGTAAATATAAGTTGACTTTTGATGTAGGTTCTGTAAGAAATTAATGAATGAGTCAGCTAGATATAGAATAGATTCAGGTTTGATACTATGTAATCAGTACTTCATCAACTAGGGAAATTGTTACAATTACTGTTAAAATTCTCTGTTACAATTACTGTCTAAACAACAAATCGTTACATGTTAAAGAAATTAATTATTAAGTCAGCTATGATACATGATAATGAACGAATAAAATATTCAGCTTTGATACGATGAAATGAGTACTTTAGCAACTGAGGAAATTGTTACAACTACTGTTAAAATTTTCTGTTGCAATTACTGTTTTAACTAAATATTTTTATATAAATGCGTCAGCTTTAATACACTGTAATGAAATTATGTAAGATTCAGTTTTAATACAATGTAATGTATAAATGAATGCTTCAACAACTAAAGAAATTATTACAATTACTGTTAAAATTTTATTTTTTCTATATTTTTTAAATAAAAATATGAACACCCAATCAGTATCTAATCCAATTCGATACCAGTGCGATAGCTTTATACTATCAATAAAATAACAATAGGCCCTATTATAACATATGTTTAATTATCTCTTTTCGATATTTCAGAAGCACCGTGAGCTTGCGTTTCTTCTTTTTCATAACTTTTCTCGTCGTCATTGACATCGGTATTGTCTTCATTGGCACTATCACTGCTTGCATTAATATTATTGTTACTTTTATTTAAAGCTTTATCTTCTTTATTTTGACTTTCATTTTCAGTACTTCCAGATATGTTTTGATTATATTCGTTTTCAGTATTATTACTTGACGATTTCTCTACAACATCTCTATGTAAAACCATTTTGCACATATCTAACAGATCGTCCGCTTTACGTTTTTTACATTCGTGTCCAAAAAATAAACGTAGTTTCATTTTATCCAACATAGACAAATCATTAGAAGGGTTTATTAAAAGACCAGATATCTGCAATTACAATTTAAGAATTTTAAATTTTTAAATAAAATTATTTAAATACATGTGTATATTATCTCTGATTGTTTCGAAATTTTATAATATTCCTTTTAATTTTAATCGAAGGTTATTTATTATAACTTTGATTAAGTGAAGGCTGTGATCGATCGATTCGATTCGATAATTAGCGATTCGATTTTTAGCTAGGCAGTACAAAAAGTCTAAGAAGTTCAGATTTTTAACTAAGCAGTAAGAAAAAGTTTAGGTAAGTGGAGCGTATTCTAGGCTACTTTAAAGTTTTATGCGTCAATAACTAAGTCTAATTGCTTAAAGTGGTATATGAGCCGAATTGTAATGTCAAAACAGTTAATGACCTGATTACATATAGGAAATGTATATAGAAAAACGAATACATATATATATATATATATATATATACACAACATCTAACAAAAATCCTGTGGTTACCGTTAACTGCGTTATCAGAATCGGTATTCAAGCGTATAGCAATATTTTTTTTTTCAAAAAAACTAATTTAAAAAAATAATCTTAAAGAAAAAAAATTAATTTGCAAATTGTATGTGGTTTTATTTTCTCTAACTCACACGAGTATCGGTAATGCGGGGTCTTTGACAATCCTCTGACTCCTCGGCCAATGCAGAGATAATAAAACCATGTACAATTTGCAAATTATTTTTTTTTTCATTAAAATTAATTTTTGTAAATGTGTTTTTTTTTTGAAAAAAAATATTTCTATACCCTTGGATACTGATTCAGATAATGCACTTAACGGGAACCACAGGGTTTTTGTTACATGTTGTATATATGTTATATTTTATTATTTTAAAATTGGAATCTTTGACCATTGACACAGCAGCATCCTATATTTATCAGTCAATTAACAATTAACTCTAAAGTTTTAATGTGCAGTTGGATCGTTGTCACTTTGTGAAACATCATCTTAATTTGTTATTTGTTTCCAATATTTGAAAAATAAATCATAATACAAGTGAAACAAGTAGTATGTAAACAAGATAAAGTACATCATGTGCCTTTTCATTGACATATAATATGATGATTTATTCCAAATATGGAATAAATCAATAATCGTTCAAATCAAAGTTCGTTGCAAACATAGACCTTCCGGACAAACTACCCACAAAGTGAGCTACTTGCTACCATTAATTTCCCGCGTGAATTAATGGACTAGATAAAGCTATACATAAGTGCAAAATTAAAGTAAATAATGGAATCTCAAAGAAGAATACATTACCCTACCCAATTATCTTTTACAATGTTCAATAGTTAAAAGTAAAAGCCCTAAAACATACCAAGGGAGCAATAGTCGCATGGCCATTTACACTATAAGCTCTGTCGTGAAAGTGCATCACACTCATTGGATCATATTCCACAGTATATCTTGGCGATAAGTCATTCATTTGAATGCGAAAAAGATTATGATAAGCTGAAATTTGAATAAGAGCTTCTTTTACGTTATTTTTACTAAGGATCCCGCCCAAAAACGTGCGTATAACGTATTCTTAGTGAGATACGCTTCACATTCTGTATACATTATTATTGTCAATAATGTATACATACCATACGTATACATTATTATTTGTATATTTTCGGCTTTGTTATATTTAACTTTTTCAATGCTTACATTCTATATATTATAGTAACGGTCTTATTTTGCTTTTTCTTTATTATGTATTTTCCTATAGTAGGGAAGAAGATGTTCTATTTTTATTTATTTTTTATAGTATACGGGTGACAAACGACGACACAAACTATCTGATGGTCAGTGAATGCTATGGCCCATAGACATCAACATTTAGCCACAATTCAGAATCAAAATGCAGATTCGTTGTCACTCCTGAGGACTCAGATGGAATGCCTCGTTTTCAGTAAAAAGGGACTCCGGTTCTCTACACTCATCATACGAAACACAGCAGCATTAAGCTACAATTTTACGCTACTATTCTGTGAGAGCGTGGTCCTTCCCCGGTCGAGCGCGAGCCCGTGCTACACATATACCAGCATGGCTCTACCACGATTAAATGTGCCGTAATCACTACGCTCAGCAGGCAGTTTGGTGCTAATTTTTGTCGACGGTATACGTATTTTACATCTGATATTGATACAAAATGTTTATATATTATATCGCCTTTTATAAGAGGTAGTAAGATCTGGGCTTAATCACACGTCGGCTGTTACGTCACCCACTTACGGTAGATTCTCTTAAGCTGCCAACTAACTGCGACACATTACATTATTTTTAAATGCTTTTTATTATAACTTTAAAGCTATTTTTACCCGGCTGAATATTATTCCATAAGATCCGAACATACTGATCTCGCCGTGGATGCGTCACCTCATCTTTGAATCCTATGCCATGCATGAGCGTATGTAATATTTGCTGATCCGTAAGGCAATCCAGACCAAGAACTAACATCTGAGGAAAAGGAAATTTGAAAACAACACAATTAAAAATATTGGAAAATCTCAAAATATACATCGATATCAAATATACGAGGGCGGCACTGAATGTTTTTATAACTGGAGACTTGTATACGGTATAATAAAAATATAAGTTCTTTTAAAAATGGAACTCTTTGCCAATATTAATGTGTATGTATTTTATCATAAATATAGTATACATTAAATTAGCGACGGAATAATTATTATGGTTTATTAGGGTGGGACCAAAAAGAAATGTATGTGTGAAAGGTGTGAGTGAAATGCTTATGTTGCGAGACGAATAGTGCTGCGCCATGCATCAAATTTAATTATCGATACAGAGCGCTCTGTTCGTATCATACAATGAATATCTTTATGTTTATGGGGATAAAAATAAAACAATAAACAAAAAATTTGTGATTTTTATTTTTCACCAAAAATAACAAACTTATTGCAAAAATGTCGTAAGCTCTTCTCAGAGGTATTTTGCAATTTTGCGTCATACTTCAATCTAATAATCAAATAAGTTTCCATTATTAATGTAATAATTAAGTGTTTATGGTTTAATATTGCTAGCGAATCACATATATTATGTCAAGTATCTCAAAATATTTTTTTGGGACACAGGGCATTCGTTTACTAATTTCGAAACATATTGTTACGCGCTCAAGTCGACGATACACTAGCGCCATCTAGTGTCAGGAACGAGAGCGAGGGGAGCATTGAGAAAATGACATCACAAATCACTCAACCGACAGCGCCTAGTCGAAACTCGAACGCTCGGTACCTTGCGCGTGTTTACTTGCACATGCTGGATATTTCTTTGCTAATTTAAATAAGTAGGCGCTGCAAGATGCGATCGGGGGCAGAGTTGAACTCGGCGACACAAGCGAAGCTTCGGAGCGGAATTAAGTGAATTAGTGTGTTTAATTATTAGTGTTTTTAGTTTTCATTTGTGTAAAGTAAATTAAAGTGTTAATTTAGGTAATTTTATCGGCAATTTTTATTGTCACGAACCTCAAGCTCGTAACAATATTTTCGTTTACATTTTTTTCTTTCATATATTTTCGAAAAAACGCGTTCATAATGAATACTTATCTCATAAACGTCTTGAGAGGAATAAACGAGATCACCTACATCCTTCATGTTTATAAGTGGTGAAGTTAGGGAAGGTTCACTTGAACATTCCCTAATTTCGACGAGTGTGTCGACGAGGGTCGCGTACCTGATACTCAGAATCACCAAACGGTATTCGCTGAAGGTTATACAGGTCTACGCACCAACCTCGGCACATCCCGATGAGGAGGTGGAGGAAATGTATGAGGATATTTCCAAAGCCATGCATTCCTCCAAAACCCACTACACGGTGTTGATGTGAGACTTCAACGCAAAACTAGGCACAAGAGAAAACGGTGAGCTGAAGTTAGGGAAATTTGGAGTAGGGCAACGGAACTGAAGGGGCCAGCAGCTGGCCGACTTTAAGGAGAAAGAGAGACTCTTTATGATGAACTCTTTCTTCCAGAAGCGGCCCCACAGAAAGTGGACCTGGTCGAGCCCCGACGGTTCGACAAAAAATGAGATTGACTTCATTATGACGACCAGACGCCAACTGTTCAGTGATGTCTCAGTGATCGCAAGGGTGAAAACTGGCAGCGATCACCGAATGGTTAGAGGCACACTGAACCTAAACGTTAAGTTGGAGAGGTCTCGTCTAATGAAGTCAACGCTCCGTCTCCCTCGTGCTCTAATCCAGAATCCCGAGACTTTTCAGCTCGAGTTACGTAACCGCTTTCAGTGCCTAGAAGATTGCAATGCAGTGGACGATATGAATGAAAAGCTCGTGGAAACTGTCCATGCGGTCGGAGCTAAGTTCTGCAAGACCCGCCGCAGAAGAACACAAAAACTCTCCGATCACACTCTTAATCTCATGGCTATTAGACGGGAGATGAGGCTGCAATCGTCAACAGATTTGACAGCATACAAACAACTGAACAGACAGATCTCCAAATGCATGCGGCAAGACTTACGCAACTTTAATACTGCTCGTATTAAAGAAGCGATCGAGCGGAACCAGGGCTCCAAAGTCTTTGCCAGAGATCTGTCTGCCAGAAAGAGCCAACTGTCAAAGCTGAAGACTGAGTGTGGCAGCATCGTTTCCGGGACATCTGAGATTTTGAGTGAGATTCAGAGGTTCTATGGGCAGCTGTACACATCATCGTTGGACCCACACGCAAGTGTGAGTGTAACGATACAAGAGCAAGTCTTACCCGACACTATTCCGATGATATCCCGGACGTCAGTCTGAGCGAGAGTAGAATGGCTCTCCAGCACCTTGAAAACGGCAGGACTCCAGGCGAGGATGGAATTACAGCGGAGCTTCTGAAAGCGGGTGGAACACCGGTACTTGAAGTCCTTCAGAAGCTCTTCAA